TGAGGTCAGGAGATCGAGACCATCCTGGCCAACATGTTGAAACCTCGTCTCTAATAAAAATACAAAAATTAGCTGGGCGTGATGGCATATGCCTGTAGTCCCACCTACTTGGGAAGCTGAGGCAAGAGAATCGCTTGAACCCGGTAGGTGGAGGTTGCAGTGAGTTAAGATCACGCCACTGCACTCCAGCCTGGCAACAGAGTGAGACTCCGTCTCAAAAAATAAAAAAAAAAAAAAAATTGGGACTATCAGAGCATAGTGTGTGTCAATGACAAGTATCTTTAGTAGAAAGGGAGAAGATAATGAGGAAGAAATTTTGAATAGAGAGGTGGAGTTGGCCTCTGGTTCTAGGGAGGGTGCATCCTCCTGTGGATATAGGGAAGTTTGTGAGTTTAGAGATAGAAAGCAGAGATGCCCTATCCAACAGCTTTTGTTTTCTCACAGAAGCATGAAGTAGGGATGTTAACAGAGAGATGTTATATGTAAGTATTAGGAGTGGGGAAGGCAATTGGAAGATAAGAGAGAAGGTGTGAAATGAAATGACCAAAGATTAGGGAAACGTTGCATAATTGTTGGGCAGTCTCTAGAACCCAAGTGAATCTGAGTTGGCAGAGTTAGAGTGCATGTATGTTTACCCATGGATACATATATGGAGACAGAAAGAGAGATTGATTACAAAGAACTGACCCTGATGATTATGGAGGCTGAGAAATCCCACAGTCAACTGTCTGCAAGCTGGAGACTTGGGAAAGCTGGTGGTGTGATTCTAGTCCGAGTCTGAACGCCTGAGAAGCAGAGGAGCCGGGGGTGTAAATCCCAGTCCAAGGACAGGAGGAGACTGATGTCCCAGCTCAAGCAGGCAGGAAGAAAAGGGGGTGCATTCTTCCTCTTCCACCTTTTTGTTCTATTTGGGCCCTCAATGCATTAGATGATGCTAGCCCATATTGGGGAGGGTGGTATGCTCCCAGCTCCACCAACACAAGTGCTGATTTCATCCAGAAATACCTGCATGGACACAGCCGGAAATAATGTTTAACCTGGCACCTGTGGCACAGTCACGGTGACACAATTCACTGTCATATCACACTCTCCAGCGATGAGAACTCATCTCTGAATCCTCCGTGCATTTCTACTGTAGTAGCCTTCCCACTCTATTGTTTCTGTGCATTTTAATGTCCCCTGGGGTACCCTCAGTCACACTGAGCTGACTATCTGGGCTTTCCAAGTTATACCTGAGGTATGCATTATTATTTGGTTAGTGCTGTGATAGGTTTTGAGTGGTCTACTCTGAATTTTTCCCCCTCTGTTATTTTTGGTGTGAGATTTTGCAGATCATGAGTTATTTCAAACATACCTGACCTGTCTTCATGTCTATGTAAGGGCATTGCAATGAACTGAATGTGTGTGTCCCCCCAGAAGCCATGAGTTGAAACCCTAATTCTAATGAAATGGTATTTGAAGGTGGGGCCTTAGGGATGAAATTAGGCCATAAAGGTGGAGCCCTCAGGAATGGGATTAGTGCCTTTATAAGAAGAGGGCAGAGAACTAGCTGGCTTTTCTTCCCACCTTGTGAAGATAGGAGAGTCAGCAGTAGACAGTTGGAGGAGGTTCATCACCAGAACCTGCCCATGCTGGCACCATGATCTCAGACTTCTCCCCTCCAGAACTGTGAGAAATAAATGTTTTGTCAGCCATCCAGTCTATGGCACTTTGTTATTGCAGCCTGAACTGACCAAGACAGGCATGGTCAGTTTTTAGAATTTTCGAATGCTTTCATGTAAAACGATAAAGGATATCATCTTCCTGGCAGATAAATGCAATTCAAAGGAAAGTGCCCACAGTAGCCCCTGATGCCAGGTCTTGCCTTTCAGGGAAGATCTTGGTTTCCTCCTTCAGAACCTCTGATGAAGTGGAGTAAACCTGCCATTAACTCTGCTGTGATTGTGGTCATCACTGCCAAGGGCATTTATGGGATGTTCGTGCATGGCTATTCTTTGTAAACTAAGTTATACAGATATAGTCTGTATCCTGTAAGAATTTAACAACTTAAAAACAGTGACATAAACATAAATATTATAGCTGAGGTGATAGACAAACTTGAAAAATTTAGTTAATCTTGTAGGATGTTCTAGAATGATGAACCACTGAGGAACCATGCACATCACACCGCCAGGTGACTGTGTTTAGCAGCAGAGAAAGAGTGATGTTAGTTTAGGCATAATCATTATTATTTACCAAGACTTACTGGGCAAACATCACTGGGAATGGAAAAGTGTTTCTCAGTTTTTATCTTATATGTATGGGAAAAGCTTAGTAGGCAAGATAGAAAGCTTATTCTAAATAAACAACATACTTTTAGAAAGATATGAGAAACATGTCGTGTTCAACTTAAAGGGTGCTTTGTGTATGTGTCTCCCTGGGAAAAGAATTGGAGATAAATGTTTCCCATGTCTTAGACATAGAGTTTTCAGAGAAAATTAAGGTTACCATCTGCCTTGTATTTACTCAAGAAGAACAGGACACAGTGTTTTCTTGAAATAATAATGCTTATAGAAGTCTTAACTTTAGGAGACATGGAAAAGAGAGCTGTATCCAATGTCCCCTGAGTCTGTCACGCTGGCCCAGCCACAGACAGCTGGCTTCTTGGTGAAGAAGGGCAAACAGGGTGGTGTCTGAAAAGGAGGAGAGGGTTTCCTTCACCCTGATCCTTTGCTTACCCACCTTTAAGAAAATGTGAGTTTTTACTTTGGGAGGTCAAGGTGGGAGGATCACTTGGGCCCAGGAGTTCAAGACTAGCCTGGGCAATATAGTGAGACCTTGTCTCTACCAAAAAAAAAATTAGCCAGGTGTGGTAGCACATGCCTATAGTCCCAGCTACTTGGGAGGCTGAGGTGTGAGGATCAATTAAGCCCCGGAGATCAAGGTTGCAGTGAGCCTTGATCACGTCACCACACTTCAGTCTGCGTGACAGAGACCCTGTCTCAAAAAATAAATAAATAAAAGCCTTAGGTAACTGGGGGAGATTATAAAACTAGTTAAAACCAATTAATAGTGATTTCTAGAAATCTCATAACATGTAAGCATTTTAATTTAAAGGTTTTTTTCTTTTAACTGAAAATGTTTTTAATATATTTCAGTGTTAATGAAGTAATGAATTAACTTCCCTCCCAGAAAGTCGAGACTAATAGCATATATCTTCATTTGGAAGATGAACTTCAGAGCTCCATTTCCCTAGTTCCTATGTATAACTCAGTTATATGCACACCAAACCATGCTAATAATGCATTCTCCTCCCCGGCTGCCTCTTGAACTTAGATCATCCAGATGTCTGTAAAATTAGCACTGTAAAGAAAGCCTCACCAGGGTATTTGGTGCAGCATATCAATGGCTTATTGAGTAGGCACCTTTTAAGTACTGTTGAATGATAGGCAAAACTGTCACAGCTATGCATAAATGTCCTGTGTAGTTTCACATAAGAGAATATCTACTAGTCCTCAGTAATAATGCTATATTATTAAGCTAATAAACCTACAGAAAGTTTGTCACAATGGGTGTCTGTTAAATTACTATAACCCGAACATTATCTTTGGAGTTTTAGATGTCTCTATTGGCTGAAGAGCCTAATTTTGAAGCTTTTATCTGCTCAGAAATTTCAGTTCTCCCATCATCATCTCTGCTCAATTGAATATGTCTTTTTCAAGAGTAATCTTGGCTATGTATAAACTGCTTCCTGACAGTCCCCAGTGAATGTTAAGACTATCTGTTCAGGGCTGGTGAACAGTTTGTTGCCATAATATAAAATCTTTTCTGCATGTCCCAACCTTTGTTTTTGGCAATTTCCTATCATTTTGTATTTGAATAAAATACCTCTTCCATTTTACACATCGTTGTTTTGGACATTTTCGTTGTTGAATTCCGTTATGTTAAAGTGAAGCTTACCAATAATCGGGTGATTTATTTGTCTTAGCAATGAATGGTTACACCAAAACATCTTGACTTTATCATAGTTTCCTTGAGGGATGGTAGAGTCTGGGTGCCCAGAGTCTGGTCCCAGATTCCAGGATTTGCCACTTGCTAGTTATTTGACTTTAGGCAACTTGTAAACCTCTTGGTGCCTCAGTTTTCTCCTGGGCCAAACAGGGTCAATGTGCATACATCAAGGCTTGGTATATGGAATATATGTGTATGTGTGTGTGTGTCTGTATATATATACACACACACACACACATACACATACACATACATACATATATAATATGTAGCTTGGCCCACAGTAAGCACTCAGAGTTTCTCGTTAGTAATATATTGAAAATACGGAATCTGTGAGTGCAGACACCACCTCTGGCTCCCTTACTTTTTGCGTTTTGATTTTTGAAATGAGTGATCTATGCCATGCTAACAATGAGAAAGACTTCTCTCTGGAGAATTTATTCCTTAAACTAAAACTTTAATGCAGAAAACTAAAAGTATTCATTCAAGATTTGACATATAACTAGGAAGAAGTAGTAGTAGTAGTAGCAGTGGTGGTAGTAGTAGTAGACAACATTCAACTATGGACAAGGAGTGAAATACTTTTTGTAAATGGCTGTTATTATTTTAGTGTTAAAAATAGATGTGCAGTGGGTCAGGGGCAGAGAGGGATTGTGGCAAAGGAGGTGGTATGTGTTTGTCAAAGGGCAACATGATGGATCCTTGTGATGGAACTGTTCGATATTTTGACTAGTGGTAGATATGTGAGCCTACACATGTGCTCAAACTGTATAAAACACACACACACTAATACAATTAAACAGGAAATCGCAATAGACTAGTAGATGGTATTAGTATAAACATGCCGGTTGTAATATTGTACTGTTGTTTTGTGAAATGTTACTATTGTGGGAAACTGAGTAAAGGCTCTTTTAAAACTGCGTATGAACATACAATGATCTCAAAATTATAATTAATAAATGCATGTGCAAATATTATATAAAACTAGTAATTTTTATTTTTGTTTTCAGATTGTTCCTGCCTGATTCATAAACATCGTGATTGGCTTTTGTAAGCTGGTATTTCAATTTTTTTTATCCTCTTTTCCCAATACCTTCTCTTCTCTAATAACTTGATAATGGTTTTTTAGAGCTCCTAGAGCAAAAATTGGAGCAAAACTTTTTTGTTATTTGGTTCTTACATTATTTTAAAGTCTGTCACACTTTTTCTGGTCCTCTTAGATGATAGTTATTTTGATAGTGATTTTTGAAGTACATGTCTTGGCCTGGGGCATTTGTTTCCTTATAGTGACTTCTTATCAGATTTATGGTTAGTGGGAGCAAAGGGCAGAACTGAGGTTGTATATAGATGCAGACATCCTGTTGGGCATTAGTCTTCCTCCAAAACATATTTATGTATCTTTGTTTTTAAATAGTCTATGAAGTGTCGTTTTTATGGAGGAGAATTGAAATATACTAAACCAATTTTAAATATATCTTTGAGAATTTATTTTCTGAGATGGTTTTGTTTTTCATCATGTTAGCAGGCGAGAAGAATATTGTTACAAAGTAACTTAACAAAGATTTGCATTCTCTGACAGATTCTAAGTCTGTATCTTGAATCTTGTTCTAGCAGGTTCTGTTTCACCTCTTTTGAAGTCACCAAGAAGACACACACCTCTAATACAGCCTTCCCGATAGTACATACCTTGGTATATTCATTCCTTAGGATGTTAACTGATATTATACAGAAAATGAGCCTATGGTCATTTAAATTTGTGGAAAAAGCTGAGTTAAAATCAAATTAGACTTGTTTATTTCCAACAAGTGATTATCGATGGCCTTTGGTCTGTGGTGTTTCTCAAACATATTTCACCATACAACCCCTACCTCACCAAATATACCATCGAACTGGTGCTCCATGGAAAAGTTTGAGAAATTTTGCTTTAGAATTTAGAAAACTGATTTAAATGACAGAATTAATTGTACATTTTTCAGAATGATAGCGAAAGAAAAGAAGGACATTTGAACAGAATGCAAGTTGGACCATAAAAGGACAGTTGGATTAACTTAAAACAGCTGACTTGGAGTAAGGCCTAAGTCATTATTATAAATATAGTTATAAGACAACATAAAAATTTAAAATCTGGAAATTAAAATACATCATTGTTCATTATTCCTTGAAGATTCAGGATCCGTCCTTCCCTGTAACACTAATGTGTCCTAATTCTTGGTGATTTTCAGGCTTTGTAGAGTCCTAACATCCTGGCTTCTCAGTTTCTTGATTTCCTCTCCTTCAATGACCTTGTCTTCCAAACCACATTAGCAACTTCCACCCATAGTCATACTGTGGGCCTAGTCATTAATAAGAACTGCTCTCACTCCATGACCTTGAGTCCCAGCACCCTATTCTCCATCTGTCTTCCCACTCCAACACATTTTTAACTCCATCTAGACATACAACTTTTACACTGCAGCACACTTCCTTCATATCTCACATCCTTCCTTATTCAATGTCAATAGCCTACCCTCTGATTAAAATCACTCATCCACTCATCTTCTCTGTCCCTCCCCTTTGCTCCGTTGTACTTAGCCATCTATATCCAGGTGCTTTGGTCTGCTGATTCCATGCACGCAGCAGTGCAGCTGAACATAGTTGGAGAAAGATACCCAGCCATGGTCAATTTAAAGCTTACCCTTGCACTTATATTCTTAGTCCCATCTCCTCTCACCTGCTCAAGGATATAACTACAGTAGTTGTCCCTTCTCTCTCCTGCATCATGCATTCCCGCCTCCTTGCTTTACTTAAAAAAAAAATTTTAACTCCCATTCCTCTCTAATTACTGCTCCATTTAATGTCCCTGCTTCCTTTTACACAATTTCTCAGTTCTTTCTGGGCATTCCACCAAAGTTCTCGAGTGTCACCAACGACCCTCATATTGCAAACCCAACCATTAATTCTCAGTCATTATCTTCCTTGACCTGTCAGAAGCACTAACCCCATTGATCATGCTGCTCTGTGAAGTATGTTCTTCCCTTGTCTTCTGAGTCTCCACACTTTCCCAACTGCTTTCCTATTGCATGTGACTACTCTTATCCTTCTTGCAGATACTTCCTCATTGTCCTGACCTCCAAACATTGGCTGTCCCAGGGCACAGTCTCTGTACTTGTCCTCTGTCGATTCTCACTCCCTAGCTGTTCCCATTCATTTTCATGGCTTTAAATACATATATGCTGGCAGCTACCAAATTGTCTCCAGTGTAGACTTCTTCTCTAAACTCAGATTCAAATATCCAATTGCTGGATGTCTGATAGGCATATCAAACCTAATGTGTCTGCACCTGAGCTCCTGAGTTCTTCTCTATTCCCAACCAAACTTCCTTCATGCTAAGTAGCCATTTACCTAGATGAGGAAGACTTTTCTTCCAGTTGCACAGGCCAGGTGCCTTTGCAGCATCCTCATTTCGTCTGTCTCACCCTCTACACAGCCAGCTGTCAGGAGATACTGTCAGCCCCGCCTAAATCCAGAAGGTGGCCACTTCTCCCCACCTCTTCTGCTACTGCACTGGTGCACACCTTCATCATCTCTTTATAACAGTAGCTTTCTAACTGGTCTCCTTGGTTTCATACTTTCTCCCCTAGAATTCACTCTCCACACAACAGCCTGATAAATGATTTAAAACTGTTAAGTCTGATCATGTTACTTTCCTGCTCCAGTGTCTCCAGTCCCTCCCGTCTCACTTACAGAGGCTTATCAGCTCCTGTGTGCTATGGGTCCCATTACCTTTGGCCTAATCTTTTACCGCTTCCCTTCACTGACTGCTTTAGCCATACCAGTTTTCTTGTTTCTGCGTCAGTTTTGCAGTTATTGTACCCAGAAATAGCCACATGACTTACATCCTTACCTCCTTCAGATCTTCACTAAATTGTCATCTTCTCACCCATGCCTTTGTCCCCGACCAGCCTGTTTTAAATTGACACTGTTTTCCCTGCCAAATATCTTAGCACTTCCTGTCTCTTCATTACTTTTATTTTTTTAATCACCATCTGATACATATCTTACTTGAGCTTTGTTATGGGATACAGTTAAGCTACTAGAAACAATTAATTCAAAGATAAGCTTAATTCATAGGTATGTTTCACAAGGGTAGGAATTTTTGCGTGTTTTGTTCACAGTGGTGAATCCCCAGCACCTAGAACAATGCCAGGAAAAACAACCACTCAATAGATACTGGTTCAATGAAAAGATAAATCTTAAAAACCAAGTTTTACTGTAATATATAGTCCGTGATATATATCCCACAATATACATCCCACAAAGATAGGAAAGTGGGATTGGGGTAAAGGGATGCTATACTAGTTACTGACTTTGCTTATTACACCCTTCTCTAGTTGCTGACTGACCATAGAATTGGGTAAATGGCTTGAGCTGGGACAGTTTATTGTAACTATAAAGCACTAAGGCAAATATAAAGAATTGGAACTTCGTACTGAGAGGACTTCTGCTTCCAGCCATCTTGCAATAACAGGAACTGGAGTTATTCTGTCGCCTAAAATAGCCTAACAAACAGACACACACAAAAAGCCCATAAAATATATGAAACAAAGGCATTCTGACATTGGACAAGTGGCACAAGACAGTGAACCCTGAGAGAAGGAAAAAACAAATGATTTGCCCCAGGCTGCAATGCAGGAAAGCAGAACCCAAACACAGCTTATCCTAGGTTGAGATGATAGAGTTAGGAATTCTGGGAGGCTGAGGCAGCTAGAATTTGAAGGACAGAGTACCAGAGAAGAGAGAGTTGGTTACACAGAGAGTGAGCTCCAGAGATCTTCAGAGGGCTCTCCTGTAGGCTTCGGCCTAGTGCTGATTAGTGCATATGCGTAAGAGAACTACCCATGGATGAGGAAAGAGCCACTGGGAAGAAAAAAGTAGCTCATGTAGGGCAGAGAAGAGTGTGCCCCTTCCCACCCTCCCACCATTCATAGTAGAAAAACCTTGTATATAAGTGGGATTAGATGTAGTACTCAGAAGACTAATGCTTCCGCGATGAGGCAAAATTAGCCCTAGACTAGTCTAATCTGATCCTGCCTAAAAAATCTTAAAAGTAAGCCGTTCAAGACAGGTCATAAAACTGTTTTGTAAAGGGCCAGATGGAAAATATTTTAGGATATGTGAGCCATGTGGTCTCTGTTGTAACTACTCACTTCTGCCCTTCTACTGTTAAAACAGCCATAAACAATTTGTAAGCAAATGTATTTACATGTATCAGAATGTATTCCAATAAAATTTTATTTATAGAAATAGGCAGTGGGCCAGATTTGGCCTGTGGGCCTAGTTTGCAGACACTTGGTTTGAAGGATCAAATTGTTTCAAGTAGCTTAACTGTATCCCAGAACAAAGCTCAAGGATATTTAAGGAAATACAAAATATCCAGCACCCATTAATAAAGTATGCAATATGTAGCATTTAATCAGAATTTACCAACATGCAGAGAACCAGGAAAATTCAATAGTGAAGAGAAAACTTAATAGAAATAGACCCAGAATTGACAGACATCTAATAAGTGGAGATACTAAAATAAATTAAATAGATTTAATAAGAATATTCAAATGGTTATTGTTACTATGTTCTATATACTCAAGATGGTAGTGGAAAGCATAGGGTTGTTAAGAAAAGATGGAAGCTATAAAAAGACCTAAATTGAACTTCTAGACTTCTAGAGATAACACCTGAGGTGAAAAATACACTGGATAGGATTAAAATCCTAAAATACACTGGATAGCAATTAAAATTATACCAAATGAGATACTGAATGGAAAAAAAAAACTAGAAAAAATTGAATAGCACATCAGTGAGCTGTGGGACAACTTGAAATGACCAAATATGTATGTAACTGGAGTCCCCAAAGGAGGGAGAGGACAGAAAATAAAGATATAATGGCTGAAGACTTGCCAAATTTGATGAAAACAATAAATCCACAAATCTAAGTTAAATAAATATCAAGCAAACACAATAACACGAAGAAAACTACACCAAGGGACACGGTAATCAAATAGTTTAAAACCAGTAGTAAAGA